TGAGAATGCTGCGTGGGGTCTGGGTGCCGTGTTGGCGGGACGTTGCGGGGCCCTTTGAGGCTCGAGGAGCGGACAGTGTGAGCTGTATTACTGGTGTCGTTTCCTGGTTGCTGCGTGGGGTCTGCGAGACACCGCTGAAATTAACCTGAGCACACACGGAAATCCACGGAGCCGCGGCTGAGAAAAGATAAGGCTGAGTGAGTGTGTGCGGAAATCCGCTGAGCTGTGGCTGAGAAAATATAAGGATGAGTGAGTGTGTGTGTGTGTGTGAGGAGCCGTTACGTCACTATGACCGTTACATCACTATGACCAGGAAGAAAATAATGGAAAAAGAAAAATCTCCAACGACGCGTTCTGGGGCAGCATAGACAGGTCTTTTCTGTGTTAGAGTTGTACTCGCTACAGGGTGTACTTTGAGGGTGTGTGACTTCGCAGACCGTTTACATGCATAAAAAGCTACATAACACACAAGGGGACAGGTAATAACCAGAAAAGCATGTCATGGGACCTTTAAGGGTAAAAAGTACAAGCCTCTGACATGTAGAATCATGCAGTAGCACAACATGGAAATACTCGAGTACAGTAGTTGAGGGAATGTAGTTGATTACTTTCCACCCTTGTGAATAACTAACACAGAAACACAGGAAAAGCTACAGCCTGTACTCTACCATCCCAGTGTGATAGATCCACAGCCAGCCCATTGTACTAAAATTCAGCCACAATTGCGCAGTATCTTCCCCAAAACAGAGCGCTTATCATGGCCCTGAAATTACTCGTCTCTGCGGACGCCCACAACACAGGCTCCTCGGGGCCGGGAGCAGAGCTGGAGGTGAGCGCACTGAGCAATCTAGGCCTATTGTTCCATGCATGATAAACTGGGCTTCAAACCTCTCATTCTCCCTCTATCTTTGGAAAGCTGGTTGCAATCTGTGTTATATGAGCCACCTTAGCAATGCTGAACTTCTGAGAGCCTTTTGATGGAGGAGCGCACCATATCTCATCTCTTTCACCGCCCTTGAAGAGAGAAAACAACACGTACAACAACTTGCTCAATATTGTGCAATACATTCAAGGCTTCTATTCCCCCTGTGTTTAATGAGTGTAAGCTCTGTATAAAACATGCAGTCGGCTCATAATTTTGACACGAAGCCTGAAACAGAATCATGTCAGTTATAATAATAATAATAATAATAGCTTGGATTTATATAGCGCCTTTCATGAGACCCAAGGTCGCTTTACAAGGAAGAACAGGGCAAAACAAACATAACAAAACAAAACAAAAGGCAGTCAGACAACCACTCAGACAGACAAAACAACAAATAGATTAGGGGCCAAAGGCCTTAGTGAACAGATGGGTCTTGAGGGCCCTTTTGAAGGCGTCAAGCGTGGGGATGTTGCGGATCTCCGCAGGGAGAGCGTTCCAGAGGTTGGGGGCTGCCACACTGAAGGCTCTGTCCCCGAAGGTTCGCAGTTTGGTGCGGGGGGTGGTAAGCAGGCCAGAGTCTGAAGGCCGCAGGTTCCGGGGTGGGGCATGTGGGTGAAGGATGTCCGATAGGTACTGGGGGGTATGGGCATGGAGGGACTTGTAGGTAAGGAGGAGGATTTTGAATGATATGCGGGACTTGACCGGCAAGTAGTGGAGGTGGATGAGGGTGGGAGTGATGTGCTGCCACGGCTTTGTATTTGTGAGTACCCTAGCAGCACAGTTTTGGACATACTGGAGCCTGTCCAGGGTTTTGTTGGGAACCCCAAACAGGAGACCATTGCAGTAGTCCAAGCGGGAGGTGACAAACGCATGGATCCATGGATCAATTATGTTGACACTGGGTTGGTCAATCGAATAAATGCTGCGGTGATGAATTGCTTTTCTAAACATATCAGACAAAGCACGTGGCATTCGTCTTAACATTGAATGTGCAATAAAACACTCTAAACATAAAAAAACAACATGCTGTAACTTTAGGCACTATGAAACTGTAACAGCCATTTGTTTTAATTCTACTAAAAGGTCCCCTATTATACTCTTTTCAACAATATATTATAGGTCTCAGATATATACAAACTATGCCTCTGAAGTGTTTGGCGGGAATACCAAACAGATCATGCATTGTAGCATCCCATAAACCCCTCTGTTTCAGCCCTGTTTCAAAAGTGCTGATTCTTTGTCTGTAGCTTTAAATACAAATGAGCTGCCACTCCCAGCGCCCCTCTGCGAGTTGTTTGGTTTAAAAAACTCGCAATGTTGCTCTAGGAGGAGATTCAGGTGATAAGGTATGGGTGTTACCTTGGTTGGTTATTGCCTAATGCAGGGGTCGGCAACCCTAGGCACGCATGCCACCATTGGCACGTGGTACCGTAACCAGTGGCACACTAGGAATAAGTGGAATAAGTGTGCAAAATATTTAAATTGTATTTTCATTTAATGAAAAACAGGTATAAAATACTATATGCTGCCTGAGATCGCATGCTGTGGTTTTATTAAATGTGCCAACTGCTAGGACTGTCTTAGGGAAGATAGCTTTTAGATGCGCAGCTCCTCTGTCTTGGAACGGTCGGCAAATTAAATGGAAACTGAGCAATCTGGTGCCACTAAATGTTTTGAAAGCTCGGTTGGATGCTACTCAATCGGAAGCTGTTGGTACCTGTACATGTGAATAGTTATTGTAAATTGTAATCCCTGTAATACTGTATAATTTCCTTTTTGTTGTTCTGTTTATGTTTTTATGTTTCATGTGGAACCTACTTGAGCAGGTCTCCCTTGAAAAAGAGAGCAATGATCTCAATGGGATACACCTGGATAAATAAAGGTTTGAAATGAAATGAATATGACAGTAAAAAAAGTTGTTATTAACAAACAAGAATACACTTTAAAAGGAGAGTGATTTGTAAAATATTCATAAAGAAAATCTGTTTACAGTTCTGTTTCATATGGGTGTTGAAAGATGTATCCAGAGATCTCTTAATGTTGCTCTCAAAGTGCACCAGATTGATGCTTTTAACTTCAATATAAAAAAAAAAAATCTTCCCGGGTGTGCATGCACCCAAACCCCCCCTAGAGGAGGTTAGGTCCCCCCCCCCACTTAAATCATGTTCACATGGATAGGATACTATTTACATTTGCACACATCTTGTGTCCATATCTTTCTGTTTAGGTGGTCATGCCACAACCATGCACGTGCATGCATGCGCGAGTCATAGTGATCTTAATGTGGATTTGGCACACTGATCACATTTTTTTTAGATGGCACTTCATATCAAAAACATTGCCAACCCTTGGCCTAATGGTTGCACAACCCAAAAAACATGGTGACATCACAAAGTGGCCAAATTCTGATCAGCTAATTTTCTGACATGTTTTTAAATAGATGGATCAGGACAAAAAGAGAAATAATCTTTTTTCCAGAAACTATCCTAATCTCTTAACTCAGAAGGGACACATATGTATGTTTACAAGACATGAAAAAGTACACTTTGCATAATATGGGACCTTTAAATATTAGAATCTTGTTTTCTGTCTGGTTGAAATTGAACAGCGATAATTACTTGCAAAACAAAATCTGTTTCGGGATGCGCCAAGAGCAACTACGCACTGAGCAACGGTGAGGGGAAGACTCCATACGGCAAGAAAACAATCCTTGATGTGAAACAAAACAACAACAAAAGTCAGCTTTTCACATTAGCTGGTTATTTACAGTGAGCAATAAGATATACAACCTTCTTTACAGAAGAGTGCTGATGGATTCCCCACAGAAATGTTACAGAAATCATCAGGCAGTGAACAAGTGTCGCTAACATAGCACCTCGACTGCAAAGTTATCCAGCAGCTCACAGTCATTGGGCTGAAAACATCCATAACACCAGCTGAGGGTTGCTGTTGCACATCAAGCTGTGAGCTTTATAAAACACCTCAATCCACAGTGACAGACTTAACCAGGGTCACAGTAAACAGAAATGACCCCCGAAGGTTACCATCACTCTCTGACACACAAACTGATGCACAAACAGCCTCCTGTACACAATTATATCATCACAAACTGTTAATGAAAACAACACAAGGTGATAAATACGCTTTTTTAATTGTGAATGTTTTTCACTTGTGATAATGAAGCTGTAAATGCTCTGTGTATACACCTCATAATTGCTTGTATTGAAATGAGTTCGGGCTATAATTTGGTCATAATAACAGCTTCACATGGAGTTGCACCTGCTTAATTAGTGCTGACTTGTTTCAATACAGGCACATATAACGGTTTAAGCACCCTGGGTGAAGCACAACATATGAGACAATTTAAAAGGCTTCAGAGTTATCTTTGATCATTAGGTGTAGCCTAACATCAAGGCCACAGATATCAGAATAAAGCAGTAGTTTTGTAAAGCACACACATTATTGGTTTTTCTCATGGCTGGATTATAAAACAATAATGTGGGCTTTTCTGAGGTAAAGTGCTAATGGCAGCATGAAGCTCAATCTTTAGCACAATTTGCTTTGAATTTAAAATGTCAACATCATGATAACTATTATGCTATTCACCTAATAACTCAAACTGAAAAGTATGATCTGTTTTGTAGATTATAGCATTACCTGTGGTTATTTTACTTGTGATTACTTTGTTTATGCCTTTTTTCTACCAAATTGAATGTGATGGCATCACTATGATTCATCTAACACAAAACCAATTTCAGATTATTTGATCTGATGTGTAGATGTTCTCCTGGGTTTAATCTCCCAAGCATAGACCAATTAAACAGTCAACAGACCATTTAAGGCCTGATTGGTCTCAGACTGGCTTTTAATTTTATATGCAGCCAGACCACAAACTAAATGGCTGATCAAGCGGCACAGGTGGATGAGATGTCTGTCTGATATGGGATGCATTAGTGTTCTGATGTGGTCCAATCGTCTCCCCTCACACCAAAGCATTCAGCGAAAGCATTCCCTGCACAAAAGGATAGATGGCTTGAGATTGACAGCCATTTGTTTTGAACATGCATTACCCTACCATATCAGGATTCTCGTCGATCCAGCTCTTTACTGTTTTGAGAGCGATGTCAGCTGCAGGCTCATTCGGAAAACCTATAGGAGAGAAACACTGTGTCAATACCAGTAGTATCCAACATGCAAATACAAGAGGGAGACAAAAACAGACAGGCGAACAGACAGACAAACCGATATCTCCACAGGTAACAGTATTTCTACCAAATCAATGGAAAGAAGCACAAGCTGCTTGTCTCTGCTAGATGACACCAGCTGTCTGATAAACTGTTCAAGACGTGTGATGCACAGTGATGGGTAAACACACACAGACTCATACCAGGGTTAAAAATTGTAGATGCAAAGTACAACATATATTCATCACATCCTCACTAATTACTACCTCAGGTACAATTGATTTGTTTTGTCTTTAGGTGGAAAATTACACACGTGTGATCATTCACACTATCCTATATTAGCAGTTTGCCGGATGGAATATATAGTAAAGCTAGTGAGGCTGAAAAGCAATGTGGCTTACTATTGCATGTATTACTCGTACCTGCTGAGAAGGGCCACAAACTGTTAACACAATGTATCGATCTAAACACACATTGCAATTGGGTTAATTTTTAATAAGGCCAACAGAGGGAGGACTGTGCTGGATGCTGATCTCAAGATCATTTCACTGAAGAGAACTTCCCAAGAGCCAACACTTAGAGTGAGCTATTGACTATAAAAGCCCTTCAGCCAGCTTTACTTCAGCTGGAGAGTATATAAGCCATTACTGAAAGCACTGACAATCTTCTACTCAGTCACCGTGTAGTGTTTCAGTTGTTTTCATTTTGAAGTGATTATTTGTTGAGTTTCTTATTCTGGGCCTTTCACCGAACTTGCTGAAAGCATTTTACTCTGAAGCGTGCACAGGTCTGTCGAGCTAGTTTAAAGTTGCTTCACAGCTACAACCTTTACAGTGCCTGTCCTGTGCAAAGATAAGCCCGGAAGACAAACAAACAAACATAGCCCATACTTTTGAGTTCTGACTCCAAATTGACCTGGCTCATGATTTAAAACGGCAATCTCCACTATATTCTCACCTCTGAACTCCATAAGGGGCCGCAGGTTGCAGCAGGCACTGTCTTCCTCTAACGACAGAGGTCAAGACCTCAATTTCAACCCACATCAACTGATACAAGGGCCATGCCATATTTGTTGCCTGTTGGTTATTACATGGGTCACATTCTCAAATATTTTTCTTTTCCTGGGTCATTGACACGACTTTAACATTCTATGACCTATGAAACAGGCTTACAACCACTGTGACGACATCTAACCTTTAAGTAGGATGAAAAGAAAATGAAAAGCCACCAAGATCAAGCCTTACATTTCCTGATTTCTTTCATCTCTCACCCAGACCCCCCGCTGTCAAAGCCTCTCAATAACTTTTCTGTAAATGCTTTGAATCAACTGCCTTGACAGTCAAGATATACTGTAGGAAGTTTTACTCCCACTACCCTCACCTGACTGCCATTGATGTGTCTCTCTCTCTCTCTGGTTTTCTTCTCCTCCCCCTTCTCAGCCTGACAGGAGTGGTTGAGTTAGACGGGCTGAAGTGCTGACGAGCTCTGGCTGAGATACTGTTAAAGCCCTGTGTGGAGCGGGATGTGAGGAGCATACCAGCGAGCAGTGAAAGCCAGTCTGCTCCTATGGTGCTCTGTTAGTGTCTGAAGACAGTGCGTGGCCCGTTCACGGCTCCTGCCCTTCAAAAGCTGCCCCCAGAGCTGTGTGCTCAGAACCTAATCCAGCATGTCAAATCAGTTTGCAGGTCACCTGACTCCTCTTGTCTCCCCAAACACACGTAACCTTTACAGCGATATCACTTTGTCTGATGATGTTTCCTTTTTTAAAATCCGTTTCCACACGTATGCAGGTGTACCGACACTCCAACTCACACGTCAAGTACCATAGGCAAACAGATGTGCGGAAGACGAGAAAGCTGAGAAATATAGATCCACAGAGATAGCACCAGCTGTTTAGGAAGAGCACACACAACGGGAGAGGTGTCAGGAAGTAAGCACATAAACAAATGGAATAGATGAGCACATCATCTTAAGAAGTCAGGACCCTTCTTTGTGCTCTTACTGTGTCACCTAAAGTGAGCTGAAAACTATAGGTTACTTACGTAACCCCAGTTCTCAGAGTAATATGAAGTGAGATGTCTCACTATGGGATGCGCCTCATCGCGGAGCAAACAGAAGCATCAATCTCATTACGCCAATCCTGATTGGCTGGAGATCTTGACGTCAGCGTCAGGGAAATCACCCCCTATAAGTAGCTTGCGCCACAACGCATGCGCCATTCAAAATAAGCACCTCTTCTCGCTTCACCATAGCAAGGAGGGCCGTCTGGTGAGACATCTCACTTTATGTTACTCTGAGAACTGGGGTTACGTAAGTAACCTATAGTTCTCATTCATAACACTCCGTTCGATGTCTCACTATGGGAAATTGTAGCTCCCGTATTGCCAGACGAGCTTATCTCGAAAATCACCAAACCAACCAGAACTTAACAGGTAGAGCTCTGACTCAACCAGGTGCCCAGCACTGCTTGAGTCACACTGGGAGCAGAACGTCCAGCCTGTTAGGAGGCAGACAAAAGTGAGCGGCGAGGACCAGCTCGCCGCTGCACCAATGTCTTTGATGGGAGACATCCTGGACAGAGTCCAGAATGCAGCCAGACTCTGAGTCGAAAGAGCTCGCGGACCCGAGGGTGCCTGCGAACTCTGACTCGTATGAGCCCCAAAGCAATTGCTTCCACAGACCAGTGGGAGAGCCGTTGCTTAGTAACAGGCTTGCCCTTATAAGGGTTAGCCCAGGACACAAGGGGTTGGTCATTATGACAAAGCACCCTTGATCTGTCCCTGTACGTGCGTGAAGCACGGGCTGGACACGGCAAATCCGGCCGCTGTTCCCCGGAGGAATACAGTGGCGGGGAGGACTGTGTGAGAAGCAGCCAGTCGTCCAGGTAGGTCGCCAGGCGAATACCCTGTTGTCTTAACGGGGCTATCGCGGCTTCCGTACATCGTACAAACACCCTTGGACTGAGAGACAGACCGAAGGGGAGTACTCTGTATTCATAACAGATCCCCTGAAATGCGAATCTCAGATATTTCCTGTGTGGGTAATATACTGGGATGTGAAAATACGCATCTTTCAGGTCGACTGATGTGAACCAGTCGTCTTGTCGCACGAGCCGCAGCAGAGATGTGTGAGTGAGCATTCTGAACTTATATCTTCTTAGATATTTGTTCAGAGCCCTCAAATCAAGTATTGGCCGAATTCCGTTCCCTCCCCGTTTGGGAACGAGGAAGTACTTGGAATAGAAGCCGCCCTGACTCTGCTCGGCGGGTACAATAGATAGCCCTCTTTTCTAGGAGAGAGAGAATCTCTTTCTCCAGAATATGGGCTGACTCTCCTCGGGCCTGCGAATGCAGAATGCCCGAGAAGCGAGGGGGGGTGACAGCGAATTGGAGTCTGTAGCCCCGTGTTACTGTCTTGAAAACCCAAGCAGATGATGTGAGCATCTTCCACTGCATGCTCCTTAGAGCCAGTGGAGATGTCACATCTCTTCCCCTCTGAGTCTCTATTTGTTGTGTTATGGGGCCCTCTAGTGTCTGAACACAGTGGTGCCCCCTTTCGACAATCCCCACCGACACTGCGCATGCGCATGACGGTGGTGCCTTCACAACCCCAGCCGGCACTGCGCATGCGCGTGGCGGTGCTTTTAAAAACCCCAGCCGGCACTGCGCATGCGCGTGACGGTGGTGCCTTCACAGACCCGCCTGTAATCCGCCTTTTGAGAGATGCCGTAGCTGCTCTCAGAAGGGGAACAGTTGACTGGCTGTTTATTATTTTTCTTTTCATTTTTCCGAGCTGCGCCCTTGGCTCGAAGCCTGGATGCGTCAGCGGAAAATGATTTGTGACAGAAAAATCAATAAGTGTGTGACATGTGTTTATGCGGACTTGAGGATGGTGTTGAGGCATCTCTCGAGGCGGCGGGAACACATTTAGAGCTGGGGAACCGTAGACTTCCAGCTCTGTCACAGAGGGGAGAAGGAGGGGCTGTCGCGCCGCTTGCTTCTTCTTCCTCGACTGCTGGCCGAAATTCTGGGTTGGCTGCGCCTGGGCTGCAGCCGGAACTGGAGATTTTCTAGGCCAGCTCGCCCTCATCCCCTGCCTGGGCTGGGGACTCGGGGCGGACTGCGACCTCTGCGCTTTCGGTATTTTTAACCGAGCAGGGTTCGCAGCTTGGACGAAGGGCTGCCGCTGCGAAGGCAGCGGCTGGGCCTTTCGAGGGAGGCAGAGGTGGAGGGCCTCGTCCTCCTTCTTTTTCGACTCGCATCTGCTTTGCATGGAGGCAAGAGCGGAGCCGAACGGGAACGATGGGTATGTCAAGCACATCCTCCTTTTCCCGGTCTGGGAGATTGGTGAGGTTGAGCCATCTAGCTCTTTCCTGCACCACCATGATCCCCATTGTTTTGCCCGTGGCCTGGACGGCGCAGCGTTGGACACGGAGACAAATGTCTGTGACCGCGGCCAACTCGTCCAGAACGGCCGGTCCAGGATTACTCGACATATCCTCACAGAGCTCCGCTTGGTATGCGGTTAGCAGTGAGGAAACGTTCAGAGCCCTGGCGGACAACGCTGCTGCTCTGTAGGACCGTTCCGTCACGGTTGACTGGAAACGATCCACCTTCGCTGGCAGCGTTGGGTTCCTGCCTGGTGACGGGCCCATCCTCGGTAGGAGATGGGTTGCCACCAGCAGTTCCATCGGCGGTATGCGGAGCAGGCCGAGCCTCTCCATACCTAGGGAGGAGGCACCCTGGATTGGGGCCTTGTTGGTAAAGGGTCGGTCCCTCCACGAGACCGACACCTCATCCAACATCTCCGGGAAGACCGGGAGGAGTTGCCTCCTTGTCCTCGTTGCTTGGGGAGAATGTTTCCCCTCGTAACGGGACCTGGCGGTCTCCTTGGCCCTTTCGGGCTACGGGATGTCTAGCCTGGACGCAGCGCGCTGACACGCGGCCTGCAGGTCCCTGCTCAGAC